GACCATACTTGTGAAGTTTTGCTGGCGCCACTCGATTAGTTTAGCCCAACCTCCGACGGGATTTTAGATTTTGCAACTTACTTGGTTCTTAGAGCTTCCTGAAAAATTTAAAAACAATATGAAACAAGAGTGGCGGTTTGGGACGGTGGGTAACTGATAAGCATGTTTGGAGTTATTGCCTTGATTAGTGGGATCAATTTTTGTTTAATTCATAATAACTTCCTTAAGAAAATGTTGTTACCATATTTAACGTGGTATTAATTTGTAGAATAATTTGCTTGTATGTTTGCAAATAAAATATATATTTTTAGTTCCTTTGCAAATAAATATACATGTCTTGTATTAATGTAATAAAATTGGTAATTTAAAGTGTAGTAGTAATTTTCCCTATTTTTTACTTGTATTTTAAATGTGAGATATGTTTCCTAAAATTATGGGCCAATATTTGGCCTTACAAGCAAAAATGTACTTATTAAAAAAAAAAAAAATGTACTATTTTTAAAAGTGGACTGTCTGTTAGGTTATTTCTATTCCCAATTTATTAAAAAAGAAATAAACAATTTTTTTTTTTGTTAATATAAACAAATTATTGTTGTTTGTTATTTTTTATTTTTATTTTTTCATTCAATAATAAAAAATTTAAAATGTGATTTAAAATTAAAATAGGGTTGTTTCTAGTCTCTTTATTTTGTAACTTAAATATAAATTTAAATTTTAAATATAAAAAATAAAATAAGATTAAAATTTAAATATAAAAAATAAAATAAAAAAAGTATCCACATTGTCAGTCATCGTGGCTGAACAATTCAACGGGGACAACTATGTTTCGTGGTCGAGAGCCGTCTCCATGGCACTGAGCGTCAAAAACAAGCTAGGCTTCATTGACGGCACCATCGCTGCTTCTAATCCATCTATTATTGAACTATTATTTAGAAAAATGTCATACACTGCAAAATTAATGATAAAAATATAAATAAAACATTTCTATATCAAATAAACCGACTCCACCGGTTCAATTCAATCACTGGTCTGACCAGTAAACCATTGAACCAACGGGTTCCGTTTTTAGAACCATGATTTCTCCATAGAATGTGACTTGACTTGCACAAGAATGATAAAATACTCATAGCTCAATGCAATATACCATATCAGTAATTCTATGGAGCAATCGGATGGCTCCGTTATGGAGCCATCCATATTTTTATATACTGACACATGTCCAATGTGCATTAATTGCAGGACACGTGTCAATACATCATTTGTGAATAACAATGGATGGCTCCATAAGCCGAGCCATCCGATGGCTCCATAGCAAAACCGCCAAAAAATAATAACAATATTAATAAAACAAAGGAGGTAAATCTTGTCCAACTAACAAAAATGAGAAACAATTCAGAATAATTTCTTAGTGAAGACTACAGATGGGCAATGACACTTTTTTCTTCTGTTTTACAACCATAACTAAAGGCCCGCATTTTCAACATCGATTTTTCACGAACACCCCAAACGAACAGTGCATCATTGCTACTCAAGTTGTACAGCAAAATTCCTGCTAAGTTCCAATCCATTTCAATGCATACAAAACTCACTTTGTAATGGCTAAAGTCAGAACCAAATATAGGGTGGTTCGAGTAAATACTTAAGTCATTACGGGCTTCTTCTTCTTTGCCTTTGAACTAGTGGGTAGTGGACCATATAGGCACAATCGTAGATCGCCCTCGAGCAATTTTTTATGCAAATAACTTTTATACAAGTCCCAAAACTCGTCTCTGTCAAATACACACGAACAAAGGAGCAAATCAGTGAGAATGCAAATTTATCTAATCTCTACTTGCAATTACAAATGCAGATAATTTCAAATTAGGAAAAAGGTCAAACCTGATTTGAGGAAGAGTGAATAAGGAATATCCCTTGACATCTGTGTACATGTCGAGCACAATTAATGCTAAGCGGGACATCCCGAGTGCTTCCATATTGATGAGTTTCTTAATCCTGAAACAATGTTTTGGCTCATAAACAAAAGATGCAATCATCTGTTGTCAAGACTGCCATAAATCTCAACTTTTCTATGATAAATCTCGACCTTATGATCTGAACCAGGAAGGAAATGCTGAAATTGATCAGCATAAGTTGTAATGAACAAATTTTAATTCAAAGCAGTGTTTGATTAACAGGATGAGTAATCCAACTGCTGAGAGAACTCCAGGAGTACAAAAAGAAAAAAAAGTTATGTAAACCAGAAAACATGACAGACCGAAATGCGCATGCAAATAACCAATAATCACGACCAGGCTTCCTAAAATATATAAAGGTAGTTAGGGAAGAATAAAAAAAATAACAAAAACATCAGGATTATTGACCAGTTTTAGAGTGTTTTTTCTGTTATCATAGTCAAACAGACCGATCAGACACCTCTTGCTAGTCTAATCCAATGATTCAAATGCAATCTCAAAGTGACAAGCTACTAGTTCGGTTGAATGAAAAGGATATAAGAGAAAGTCTGAAATTTATATCTCAAGATTTTTAGATAGGAATGTGTCACTGCACACCTGCTTGGCGTTCCACTGGCAATATTGACGCGGTTCTTTAGAATGGACACCTACTTGAAGAAAAAAGGTTTTCAATAAAACATATATCTGAAAGTTAACAAGACATCTCCACATGTAAAAGTTTAAGATCAGGCATTCGCTTTCATACATTTATGTTCACAAATACTTTGACGTCATCAAAATAATTTTGAATATTTGATGGAGTTAACTAATTTTGGTGCTTAAGCCCATATGACCAGTAACTACATTTAAGTCTTCCGATACTAAATCTAAATTAAATTTTTTAAGTTGGGAAGTTGTCTCATTAACACGCTAAACCTCATAAATGCTTGGAGTCATTTATTGTATACTTTTCAACAATCTGAGAGTGTTGTGTTTGGTGAAGGCTTTAAAATATCTTATAGCTTACAAAAGAACTCTTACTTCATTTGGTGGTGTTAGGTAAATTACCATATAGCCTGAAGAAAGGTCTTTCTTGAAAACGCTACTGCTAATCATTCAAGAAGCCTTATGCGTTCAAATCATTACAGCTATCGGAGAGTAAATGATTCATGAGAAAAAAGAGGCTGACCATAAATTATAGCATAGTGGTGCATGACTAAAAGTCTAAAATAAAGATATACCAAATTCAAGACTACAGCATATCTTATATGCCGGTTTCGCATATTACGTATGTATAATCAGAGGTCCAATAAAATTATAGATTGTCATATGCTTCAGTTATCATACTTTAGGGACATGGTCTGCATTGCATATCACTGATAAGAATAAAGATGTAAACAATTCAGAAAATACAACTAAATCCGACATTTCAAAATTTATAAGATTCACCACCTGTTCCTCAATCTTCATGTGCTTAGAGAATAACTTTGCAGCATGGCATTCTTTGGTCAAAGACCGCAATTCCCTGTATGAGCAAGTTAACAACACGAAAGAAATGTCATCTACAAATACAAACATATAAGCATAAACATAATTACATTCTTAAATAGTGTCAGAAGACAGATCTCCATAATCTATCTATATTTGCAAACTGAGACACTACTTCACACACATAAATTTTTTTAATGAATTCAGAACTCTTGTGACATTGACACACAAAAGGAAAGCCGAAACAGATAAAAGCATCCACCTGAGAAGTTCCAATGACCTTAACGCTGATGAACTTATTACAAGAACTGCAGGACTCCCAGGCTGAATTTTCCCTTCTTGCAGATGTTTTCCGCAGAGCACTTCTTTCCATGATGAACCAAATGAAACCTTCACGTGCTCCTCCAACTTGCCAGAAATATTTTGTGATGTGTCCTGGGATAGCTCTACTATACACGTTTCTGCAAGTTTAATGGAGATTATATCAATTCCAAATTCTATATCCAGAAACCAGCCCAAGAGAAACTTGAAGATATAAACATGAATAAATCTACAAACACAATGCAAATTTCTACTGACAATGAGAATGGAGGAGCATTTTCAGAATGTTCAATCGACCACTACATATTATTACTATAATCTGGAAACTCACTAACTTGAATCCACTTTGACGGAACTACACTAACAAAGTACATCTTCCAGAACCAAAATCAACCATTGAGTGATAAAAGCATCTATTTGCATTCAACACTAATGCAGAGGAATGATGGTTCAGGCACAAGAATAAGTAATATCCTAGTGATAGACACAGAGATATAACAAAACTATACCTTGAGAAGGCAAAATGATAAGAACGAAAGAAAAAAAAAAA